GAGGGACCTGCAGCCCGAGCGCTGACACGGCGTTAGCGGTCAAGCCTAGGGCTGGATGGTTCACCCCCTCCCCTGCCCCCCTCCCCGGTGCATTTCTTCTAAAGGGAGATTCAGAGAGGAAATCTCCGATGAACCTCCCCGTCCCTCTTGTGTCGTTTGTGGTACAGAGTAAAGGAACAGGGATGCTCTCAGGGGCCTGTCGTGGAGGGAGAAAGCGACGGGCTTTGTCGCTTGGAGCCGGTAGTTTTTTCAGGGGTCGTGACTACGAGGCAGAAATCCGAGTCGGGTCCAAAGGGAGGGAGGAAGGGATGCAGGGAGGGTCACTCCACTGAGGCTTTCCCACGCTCGCTCCACCATCTCCTTAACACCGGGATACCGAAACACCCGTGGCGAGGTAAGAAACCGTGTCAGTTACTGGTTCCTGGGAACCATTATAACTGCGGGGTCGCGAAGGTGGAGAAACTGCTCCTCCCAGCTGGGCATGAAAAGCGTTGCATTTGTAAGGCTGAAGCCTGGTGATCTGCCTGCCAAGAATTTCCTTGGACATGTATTTTTATGTGCAATTAAAGAAAAAAAACATCCCCAGAACTGACATAATCAGAATTACAGATGTATTAAAACTACGGGAGCATACTGAGCACAGGATGCACATGCAGCCTCTTAATGTCATTTGTGCTACACGTATACGTGTGTGTATTTCCTCTTCCCAGAAGGCCGCTTTCGACCCCGTGCAAACAAAGGCTATCTCTCTGGTCGTGCTCTCAGCTGCACTGGTGAACAGTTTGCCCATTCCCTCCAGTGTTCTGAATTTTGCTAGGCACTATCAGTTCAGTGGTTCCAAGGAAAGCGAAGAAGAGATGAAATCATGACAGTCAGAAGAGGTAAGTCGTACTATGCCCCAAAATAAATGAAAGGAATTAGACCGGAAATGTGCCTTTTGAATCAGGATCACAAATGATTTAAATGATTAATTACCTCCCCTTTCTGTCTTTTTCTTTTCTCTCTTTGCATGTGTTTTCATCTGACATTCATGCAGTGAATAAAACTTACTTGGGCCTCTGTCTGCCAATCGAAAGCTGATTCTGTTTTCATAGTTGCTTTAAATTTTGCATTTTCACCATAAAAACATCACTGAATGGGAGTTTGCAAGAGTAAAAACCAGGACACCTGACGTTAGTTGTCTCTTCCTGCAAGATTTACAAGGGAAACACAGACTTTTTTTGTCTTTTTATTATTTTTTTTTAACCATTTCCAGTTACAGGAGAAAATGTAAAGATGTCTTGGCACATCTCTCTCTCTCTTTTCCCCCCTTTGCATTCCAGTCATTCTTTTTCTGCCCATAAACTGTTACCACTCCACAAGAGCCTGATTCTGCACAGCCTACTCAGCCTGGTTTTTTGTTGGATGCAGGAAGAAATCTCGTCAGATGGGGTCTTCAGTGTGCATTCATGAAACCGAGCAAAAGCCTCTCTCGGAATGTGCGCTGGAACAGCAAATAGTTACTTTTCAGCTGTGGATTACATGTGCCTCTGGAAAGGGGACCACAAATCATTGGGTTTTTAAAGGTTCCGCATGAGTTGTATATTAATCCCAGTTTCCCTAGGGATGGATTAATCCCAGCTTCCCAGTTGTGTGGCTACAGACAATGTTGATGGGGTTGGGGGCAAGGGAGAAGGGAGATGGGGAAAGGAGAGGGAAATTAAAAAGATATATCACAGGAATACACGGCCTAAGTGGCGAGGAGCCATAAGTACTTAAGTTTCAATACCTCTTCTACCTCTGTCACCACATGCGAGCTGAAGCAAATCACTTCAGTTCCCTGTTTTGGTTTCTTCATCTGTAAATTGGGGATAGTGCTGCTGCTTTTG